CTGCAGGCAGTTGTTATTAAAAAAACAAAACAAACCCCTAAGAACTGCCCAAGAAGATATTAGTACTGATCTGTGTCTAGTAAATGTTTCTGATATTCAAAGACACAGAAGTGGTGCGATGTCAGTGGTGGTTCAAAAACTATAGCGAAAGTTAAAGGATAAGATCTGAGGAGTTCTGAGGAGATTATGGGCTTAGGTATGCATTCATACATAGGTGATATTGTAATTACTATTAATCTTGCATCCTTTGCCTTTTAAGTCCTTATTACTAATATTTTTTTTCCAGTCTTAGTTTAGGGCGTACTCATTGTATGACTACAATTATTTTCATTATATGTGAACATAATCTTTATAGTCTTTAACAGTTTAATGGTGAATGCATTTTTGGGCAGTTAAGTTGTTGCCCAGATGCTGTATTAAGTGGTACCTGGCTAAGCTGTAAACTACAGGAAGTAAGGATTCTGTAATGGAAATGCTGGTTTTGTACTGGCTATAGAGGTACAAATGCAACTTTCTAATTGTAATGTGTTAGAGAGCTTTTTTTTTATTGAGGAACAAGGTGCAGTTTTAATAGCCTTCAGCTGTAAAAAACAAAACAAAACAAAAAAAAGTCTTTAAGAACATACCATTTTATGCTACCTCTGGAGGATAATAAATTACTGAGCTTTTTGGATTGCTTGTTTTCACTTGGGGTTGGTGTACAGTGGCACCAAAGCAGACATCATGAAACAGCACATACAAAAAAAATGTGTCTTAAGCTGAAAAGTCAACAGGTTTTCTTTTACTTCCATCTTACAGCTTATTTTATAAACGCGTAAAAAGAATACTATTAACCTAAATGTTTTACTTACCCAGCATTTATAGCATACTATGCTGGAAACTAGCCTATTAACTTGTTGTTATTTTTACTTGTAAAAACAATAGCACTAATAAGTTCTCAGGCAGTCTTTGTCTATTGAGAAAGATCCTCTCCGCCTTTCTGCATAACATACAGCAAAAGACCATTTTTTACAACTAGAAGATAGATATCTGTATGGTAAATTACTTCAATTTTCTTAAATCTGTTTTCGTTATCTACCATATAAGAGTAGATTTCTTTCTCCAAAGCGTTTGTTGTTGCTGAACTAATATTTATGATTCAGAAACATGTAAATAATCTGTATGCAAAGTGCAGAATTTTATGTTGTTACATGCAGCTGAGTCCATTTAGAAGCTCTTTTGGATGTAAGCTGTGGTAGATGTTGACAGTTTTCTTGAATAAGGGGAATGTGGCTATAGAGTTTATTCTTTTGTCTTAGAAAGTCATAGGCCGAATAAAATAATCTTTAAACGTCCAGACTCGTCGTCCTTTAGCCTAGCAATTGAAGAATTGAATGAGTTAGGTCAACTGTGTACACTCTTACTCATTTGAGAAGTAGTGATATGGAATATATACTCTCATATATATAATATACTCATTTGAGAAGTAGCAATATGCTACTGTTAATGGCTCTGGAAGAAGCATCATCTGGAAACATAAATCCTAATCGTTTGATTTTCAACTCCAAATTGAGCTTGATGTCTGATAAGTTTTTTTGTTGTTGTTCTTAACTGTTCCTCAAACAATTCAGTTCATTATTGACTTAATGAAGTTCGTTGAACAAATTATCTACCTAGTTGAAGAGATTAATGTAGCCCCAACTGCATCCTCACAGAAGGCTTCAGACTTAAGTAGATTTAAAATTTGTGTGCTTTATTTTCCTGTATGACAATAAGGAGAGATTTTTTTTTGGTTTAGATTTTAGCATTGTCTCATACTTACCTTATGAGAAACCTGCCAGATGTTTCAAGTAATGCTTCTGTTGTTAATAGCTCTGAAATTATTAATGTAATTGACTCACTGTAAGCAAAGAAATAAATCAGATTGCATAGGTTCAGTGAAGCTTAGTATAATCTTTTCTGGATCCATCCCTATGCAGTGTTACTTGGAGTATTTCTTCCTGATTTATTGTAACATCGTTTTATTAGTCATGGGTCTGTTATTCTGTATGTTTTTTGTCTGCCTTTCACCTTGCTGACTGAAGTACTGGAAGAATACTAAACCTGCTTCTGGGAAAATATTCTCTCTTTTATGTATTCAGATTTCAGATGGGAAAATATTGTCTCCTTTATGTATTCAATTTTCATTTCTTTTCAGAGTTCAGTTAAAGAGGAGATCATAATACATGAGAAATTTTACTTTTTAAAGAGCCAGTATGAAATTACACTTTCTGCTTTATTATATGTCCTCCAATATACTTTTTTACACCTCGGCGTTCATTCACAAGGTGTGTTTTTTTTTTTTTTTGAATATGTCCAAAATGCAAAAACAGCTGCTACCAATAATGTAGAGAAACAAGTGAATAACCTACAGATGACAAATTCTTGCCTCATTGCAAAGACAAATTCATGCCTCTGATCTAGTTTGGGTTTAAAATCTCTTATTTGCAAAAGCAATCATTTTTCAGCCCTCTTCTAATGCAGCAGAATGCTTGGACTGAGAAGGCAGCAGCACAGATTTTCATTTAAATTACCCGTTCCTCATATTCTCTGCTATTTTTGCCCTGTAGCATTGGTTGACATTTCATAGAGAGTGAGCTACCATAGGGCTGGAAAATACGTAATTATAAGAATCACCTGCTCTTCATTTTTTCCCATTATATACCAATTGGGATTGAGACATACTTTTCAGAGGTATTTGATTTGTAATGAGAAGTTTTTATTCTTCACTGACCTATGATTAAATTCTGCCATTTAATAAATAAATGGAAGATACCTTCTGTGTAATTCAGCTCGGAAGTTATGCTTGAGAGGCTGTGTAAGTCTTTGCCCTGTACCATATGAGCAGCAGCATATGTAATTGAGAATATGTTCTTAGATAGAAACAGCTTAGTTCAGAAACCTTCGTGATGCTTAATGTTTTAAGGCAAGTATAAGGTAGATGCCTACCTTATAAGACATAAGTGGCTTCAAGGAGCTTGTCAAATGATGCCTTTTTGTCCCACACAGTACTGCAAAGATGGTTTAAATATAGTAGTTAAATCTGGAAAATAATTGATTATAGTTATGTTACAGCATTAAAACCTAGTTATAAGATTTGAGAGTTACTATTTTTTAAAATAAATAACATCATGGCAAATGCAAAGAGCAGATAACGGCTCTGAAGCATCAAAATACAGACAAATTGGTTTCAAAACTGTTCTCTACAAAATGTTTATTCATGTTGTAGGAACTTGAGTAGGTCTTGGTAGTAAGATGGTACATATTTGCCTTTCCATTCAGATTAAGCAGACACCCAGTTTGTAGATAAAGGAACTTCTGATCCTGTTCAAATAGGCTTTTCATTGTTCGAATGAACCCGGCATCTAGTCATTTCCTGCACACCAGCTAAGAAATAGACTTGCTTATTATTTTTATCACAGCAGTGTCTGGGCACCCTGATCCAGCGGTCTGTTTTGCTGCTTGCTGTACAAATACACGAGGCAAGATCACTGAGATCACAAATGTTACACATCTGGACTTGAACAGAGATCAGAGAGTAGCAGAGAACATGCATCCATAGTGAAATTACCGGTCTCATACTGGCAAAGAAAAAATTAGAAATGGGTGATTTCGTCCTTAGTGATCCATACATAATGTTCTTCTGTTTTTATGGTTAAAATTAATTTAATCATAAAGCTCCTGTCTTCTATTAACTATCAGATTGCTGTAAGAAAAACCATCCGTTCTATGGTAAAGACAGAAACAATCCTTTGAAAATGTAATGTGAAGTTTTTATCACATATGTTAGTAACATAGTACTTGATGGAGTGGGGAGGAGGAAGCACATGACAACAGCGAATATTTCTCAGAAACTGGAACAAAGCATATGCTGAACTAAATATGAAAAGAAATAGTTCCTGCAAAAGTGGCTACTATTCAGCTACTAGATGTACAGATGCAATTATATATTTTGATAACTCATGTTTAGAAATGAATGTTATCACTCTTATCCATATGATTAAATAAATCTTTGTTTAGAAACCTTTTAAAGATCAGTTTGGCATTTCCCCCTCTTTTCCTTTTTCTTCAGGTTTTACCAAGGACATAATGATGTCAAGTGCGTGTGCTTTAGAAAGTGCATGCACTTTAGGAGTTCAATTTAGAATGAACTCCTAACTCTCATATCCTCCCTTGATAATCTCAGGGAAATGTTTCAGAAAGAAATAATTTTTAGATCAGTCTGTATTTAATTAAATAAAATCCATGCAGACCTATTATTGAGTGCTTATGATGCTCAGCATGTGAGTAAGCACATGAAGATTTTTATCTTTCTACACTGGAAATTAAAAATTAAAAAACCCACAAAATTTAGAATTAAAAAAACCCCAAAACCAAAACAAAACCAAACAACTCCCCCCCCCCACACACACACATAAGGATACATTTGGAGAAAGTGAGAGAGATGTTTAACTTAAGTTTACTGTTTTAAAATGTTTGTGAAAGCAAATCATAGCCCTAATAAAACCAATCAATTCTACAAGCTTGTCCTTCCTGATAGTCTGTCTAGATATCATGTGGTTCCCTACTGTCATCAGTAAAATCTACTGTCATTTTTTACTTTCTTTAGTAGGTAATATGTTTTCCTGAAAGATGAAAGACCTTATAGAATGGAGTAATATAGTTCAATTGATAATTAATCTAAAACAAAGTTAAGGCAATTTGTCAGGATGCTGTGAATAAGTTTACACAACTTGACTGGTTTTAGCTTTTTTTTTTTTTTTTTTTTTTTCCTCCCCAGAAGATTTAAATCAGTGATCTTTTGTTGATACTACTGCAAGTGTTAATTTTGGAAGGTCAGATGTGCTATCAGAGTATTTTTTTTTCTATAAGATAATAAGATGTGTATCTATATACCAAATTACATGAAGTTAGTAGTGTTTCAGGCCTGACAAAAGTTGTAGTTTTAATAACTTCAACACCTGCCCTTTCTTATTTTGTAGGTCCTGGAACATACAATCCTGTGATGAGTTCAACTTCCCACATTTCTGCATATATTTCCAAGCTGGAGCGCTTTAAGGAACCGAAAGAGAACACTCCTGGCCCTGGAGCATATCAGGTTTGTCAGTATAGCAATTATTGTTTGGGGGCTGACTCGGTCTGAATACAGCTCAACTGATGACCATGTACTTCACGTTTTCCTGATGCCAGAGCAAGCTAACATCATTTTGGGGCCTAATAAATATGTAGATATAATAATAACATACCAAGCAATTAATCATAAGTAATTTTTAAATTATTTCTCCTAAAATAAATAAATAAATAAAATGATATTATGGTCCATTGAACTCTTGGTCCTCAGTGACCTTGGCTTTGAGAGCATGATAGCTGCAGTTTCATTTGAGTATCAGATTTTTGAGCAGTTCCAAAAGGACTTTTAAAATACACGAATCCAGAAAATGCAAAACATGCTAAGTTGCTGGTTCATGTTACAGTAATAAATTTTAGGAGTTTTTATTCATTTTAATTTAGACTTATTATTAGAGCAAAAATATCAGAGAGAGCATCTGCAAATTAATTTTAAGATTAATCAAATATGTCAAGTAGAGAAGCATTTGTTTCATATTAAATGCTGCTGCTTTTTAACCTGTCAGTATGAGAATAATGCTGTCAATCCTTCTGGCTTGCTCCAGTGCTTATCCTAATTTTGTTTAATTTCTTGAATATGGATCAGATGTGACCTTTAGTAGAGGCAACATTAATGTCTTCTCTGTGATCTAATGTTGCTAATACAGTAAAATGGAGATTTTGACAGACATATACGGAATCCAATTTGTTTTACTGCGTGTGTTCCAGTAATACTGCAGTATAAAATGTACAGGTACATTTATTTAGCTTGTAAGTATTACTGATATGTATGAAATGTTGTAGGCAAACAGATTAGAAATACATCTTTTATTTTTTTCTCTAACCTTGATGACTAAGGCAATATGGGCTGATTTTCACATGTGAGAAATAAACTAATATTAGGTGAGTGTTCAGAATGAATTGAAATGATGTTTACAGTGACCTTTCGAGAGGTAAGTTGTTTCTCTAGAAAATTTTATGGAGATACGTATAGATCTAATAACAAAACTGTAAGAACTGTTCTATCCATTTCGTTTAAGAACAGTGCCATAGTCTCATGCAATATAATGTGAAATGAGCAACACGTTTTGGAATGAGCTGATGTAAATTCAGCTGAAATTCCACCTCAGTCTTGAAATATGTATATTTTTACTTCCTCTATCCTCTATCAGCATAGAATAAGATTAATTCTAGATAATGCAAGGATTTTCAAAAGTTCAGAAATCATTTCTATCTCATGTCATAGTAGTAGTATCTAATATGTTGGCTTTCTATTTGTATATCCTTGTCAAGTATAATGACAGTGGCCACTTATTAGAAAACTGTCTTTTTTGTACAGTTTATAGTTTACGTTTGTACTTTTTTTGGTGCAATTTATTTGTTATACTACAATTTATTTGTTATACAACCTTTATAGGTAAGATGATAGCATAGTATCCACAGGCTTGTTTTTGTATAATTGTGTAGTCGTTTTCCCTTTAGGCCTTCATTTTCCCTTCCCTGGTGTCAACCAGTTGATATTTTATTCTTTTTTTCTTTCTTTTTTTTTCTTTTTTTTTTTAACAGTTGCTTTCAGTTCAGTTAAACTATAAATTTCAGTATATTTGGTAGTAGGTTGTTTGGAAAAAAATTTTTCAGAAAATTTTTTCTGTTGGCAGTGCAAGGCTTTGACAAGTTTGCAAGACCTCAGGAACCTCACTGTTACACAAGGAAAAGGTACAAATGAAGAATCTGTCAAGTCATATAATGTGTATGCATGTTCGAAGCTGATGCTTGCAAAGGAAAAAGGAGAAAGATAAACCCTTAAGAAATGATTGATATTCAGTAGGGTGGTAATGAACTTAACCTTCTTGTCATGCAAATACTGGATATGAAAATTAAATATTTGCATTAATCTAGCTTCTCTCAAAATGAAGATTGTCTAGAAAAATGATTGAGCAATGTATTCATCCTTACAAGATGATAAAGATATGGTTGGTCAGAAATGTTGCTTCAAGTTAAAGCAAAAAATGTCATCTTAAGTTAGGAGATGGTGCAGTAACTGAAAAGTTAACTTTCCTATATACCCTGTGATTTGAAGAGATGGCTTATAGAGATTAAGTAATTAAGCAAGAAGATTTTGCACTTTTTTGAGAGGGTAAGTTAATGTAGTATTCATTTACATTATTATGTTCAAATTCCTAACCATGTTTTTGTCTATATATCCTGATGTTCAAATTCTCTGTCATTGACTCCATTATATGTATTTTTTTGTTATCTGTGGCCGATTGATTTCTGAAGGGGAAATTGGGCAACAGAATATGAAGGCAATGGTGTTAGATTTCTGTGCTTAAGAGAAGTCATGTGTGAGCAAATAACTGAAAGGACCCGACTGCCATTTGTAATGAAACAAGAACACACTGTCTGTAGCTGGGTGAACATGCAGCTCTGTAGATGAGAGAGGTTTTACCTTTTAAAGGAAATCAAGTGATGCTGAACTGGCTGTGCTTCTGGGCATCCCCTCAGGTTCTGGTGTGCATCAGGGTTTGCGCTGTGCTTTATACACACAGCAATATTGTGCACTATTCACATAGCCTCTATGTGTTGTTTGATGCAGGATTTTGTCCCTTCTCCATTGCTGTGCACTGCTGCTTAAAGAGGCAACTCATTCGTGTGAAGTCACCTCCATATCAGTAGAGAATCACGTAACCAGAGAAGCATGAGGCAGCTGAAAGATGAAGCAGTCTGCTCCCTGTGAAGCCAGCAATCTTTTCAGAAAGTTTTAATTGATATCTGTGTTTAGTGTGTGTTTTCCCCTCCCCGGTATGTGCTTAAGTGCAGCAGTATGTGACAGTGCACGTATGATTAGGAGGAGAGATTATTTTGTTTTTAAATACAAATGCTAGTTAGAACTTGGGTTAGCCCTTTAAAAAATATGTTCTGCTCCTAGCAGATGGTCCTTGCTGGGGGAGTGTCCTATTTAGATCATTACTATGTAAAGCTCCTTTTTAGGTTAATCAAGGGGGTTTTTGTACTCAGAATAAACTTGACAGTGCTTGAGGGCCTAACTGTACAGGGCAGCGGTCCTTAAGTGCGTTGGATAGGCAATGGTTCAGTGCATATAGGTGTGCTGGTGTGCCGGTTCTTGCTCTGTTGCAGTAAGTTGTCAGGTTTCATGTTGGCTTTCTATGAAAATGGAAGTAGAATGTGTGCTCTGATGAGTCAGTCTGATAGAGAAATGACTGTTAATCCTGTGATGGAAACTGATAGGCATCAAGGCATCTAGTCCAAACTGTAAAAGTTTCATCAGAATAATGCAGGTACAAAATGGCTTGGTTGCACAGTTATATAAATGTGGCTTATGAAATACTGTCATGGTGAAACCACCATGGTGCATGTAGCTTGGCAAAATCGTTTTTAAAAGAAAAGCAGTCAAGCTGAGTCCAAGAAGGATTAGTTTAGGATCACTTGTGAATACAAAGACTTAATTATGGGAATGGGATGGTGGGGCTATGTGAAAGGGGATGCTAGTATATTGACTGGTGATGCTGATGGTGGCTAGCAAGTTGTTGTTGATGGCTGCTTTGTTTGTTGATCAGACCATTAAAAGATTTGGATTCCTGTTTTTTTTTTTTTTTTTGGACGGGGGTGGGAGCTGTTTTTTTAGTGTATGTTCACCAACCACTGGGCTAGAAAGTCATGCTTCCAAGTGTACTCCTCTGCTTTCCTGGCTTGTTGTCTGGCTCTATAAGTCCTGTCATTGTCCGTGTATTCACATTCTTAGTTTCTTGCTCGGCGTTGTACAGGTGGCAGGAACAGGACAGACTGACATCCTCAAGAGTCAATGAGATAGCTCAAATAGGTGGCATTTGAGAAGAGACTGGTATAACTGGCTAAGAGAGCGTTACAGTTTACTAAGGAAACTAACAGTTTTTTTGTTTAAGTGATTCAATATAATAAGCTCCTAGGGGATGAATTATGGGCTGAATAACTGTTTTCAGTGCTGAGTGGGGTGATCCATTCAATATCTTTTATCATGCTGGATTCTTGGCAGAATAAGCTTTTTGTGTGTTCCAAGGCTTTCTTAGTCCATAATGAATAAATGCTATTTTTCGGCACTTTGGAAGTTTTTTTTTGCTAATAGAGAAGACACACTAAAATATATATTTTTTTAAAATTTCCTTTATGACAAGGAATACTGCATGTAGCCATAGAATTTATCAAGCAGCTTTTGAACTGAAATTAATAGTGCAACACTTTTGACTTCAACAGGACTATGTTGTTTTATGTTAGCTAGATTTCTGATATTATGCTTCTGTTTTAAACTTTCCTGAGCATAAATAAATGTTTGTCCTGACATTATTTTTCTGTCTAAATGATCTGTCCCTTGTCATGTCAAAAAATTATGAAAAGTGTTTGCAGAATACACACAGATTCTTTGACACATTTGCTAGCTAATTTTAAACATTTTTGTGTCAAGTAGCTTCCATATCTAGTCATGGCAACTGAATGAAATTTTTTCCATCTGACTGAGTCTCACAATAATGGCAGTAATATGTTCATCTTAATTACCACTCTACTTGCGTTCATCAAAGTCTTCTGATTGACTTTTGTGTTGATTCCTCTTGTGTTGATACCTCTCCAACTTGGAGAGGTAATGGTTTGTAATGGTGTAAAGCAAAAGCAGTAGCCTTGTATTTTCTGCTCATCATTTGTTCCAGACAGTACAGACAGATAATAAGGCAATAGCTGCAGTAATTGCAAAGCTAATTTGAATTATCCCTAGCATATAGTAAGAGAATGAAACTGTTTGGACTATTATGGAGTTGTGAACTGTTACTTAATATTTATTAATTTAAGTATTAAAAAATTAAAAATTAAAATTAAGTATTACTACTTAATATACTAGAGGTAATGGCCACAAACTGAAGCACCAAAAGTTCCACAGGAACTTAAGGAAAAATTTCTTAACAGTGAGGGTGCCAGAGCACTGGAACAGGCTGCCCAGAGAGGTTGTGGAGTCTCCTTCTCTGGAGATCTTCCAAACCCACTTGGACGCAGTCCTGTGCCACGTGCTCTAGGTGACCCTGCGTGTGCAGGGGGGTTGGACTGGATGATCTCTAGAGGTCCCTTCCAAACTTAAGCATTCTATGATTCTGTGATTTAATTTTAAGTGAAGGAACTTCTTTCCAAAAACTCTGTGCAAGAATTTAGTATATTCTGAAAGCTTAATTGGTCTTTTAATTCTTTTGAGATAACTGTTGGAAGAGAAAGCTTTGGAAAGAGAATAACTTCAGGCAAAACAGTTCTGAGATCATCTGATTGGAGAAAAAAAGGCAGGGAAAGCCTCTCTCTCTCTCTCTCTCTATATATATATAAAAGTATGTACAGAGTTATATTAAGAGAGAGAGAGAGAGAGAATGTGTGTGTGTTTGTGTATTGTATTGTTTAACTCTTGCCTAAATAGAACTTAATAAATTTAAACATGGGCATGCAAATGCTCTTCCTTTCAGAAGTGATACATAAACTTATTAATTAAGACAAGATACATTTATACTTGTATTTTTCATTACTTGTGAATATTGTGGATGTGACTTTGCTCATGATTAAGTTAAAAGGGTAGAGGGAGAATTGGAACAGTTAACCTCTTGTTTGGCCTTTGATTAATAATTTTGTACTCTTTTCCCGTTAAAATCTATGAATCTTTAATTGTAAAAAATATAAACAGGTGAACATAGGAAGTAGGATTTTTCTTATTCACTTACCAGTAAATTAAACAGTGACTTTTTCACAAGTAGGGGGTACTATTTGACCAACTAAGCAAAAGAAGTAAATATTTCTATCTTGAACAAAAACAAAACTCAAAAACTATTTACTTGGTGGAAATTTGCTATTAATTTTTTGTTGACCTGAGGGAAGCATACATGTAGCTTAATTACACACTGCACAAACCATTAATGTTCTCTGTGCAAATCAGAGGGCTCTTAAATTTTTACAGCAGCATTCATAGCATTTACAGAGCTAACCACCAACAGTAATTCAATCGCTTTGCATCTGTTTGCATTTTGAGAACAAAGAGTGCTTTCCTTTCATTTAAGTGGAAAAAATCCATGTGAATTTTTGTTTTGCCCCTTGAAGGGAAGAACAGTTTTGAGCAGGTTTGCAAAGCCCTGCACTGAGCTGGTGCTGGTGGGATTCTTCTGTGTTATGCTTTAATGAGACTTCTACAGCTAGAAGTTCCCTTTGATTTAGTAATGTACACAAGGCTTTTATCCCTTTCTAAAAAAGAAAAAAAAAGTACTTGTATCTTGTCTTAATTAATAAGTTTGTGTTTTATGTACCACTTCTGAAAGGAAGGGCATTGGCATGCCCATGTTTGGATTTATCAAGCTCCATTTAGGCAAGAGTTAAACAAAGTAAATTAAAAACCTTAAAGCAAGTATAGCAGAACTGTACTAGATGCACTGTTTTTTCCTCTGTTAGCTATTTGACATAATGAATTTGAAGAATGCAATGTGCTTGACAAGGCTGGTGTAATTATCCTGCAAAAGACTGCAGGGTTAATCTTTTATACCAGCACTAAAAAATACTTTTGAAAAGAAGAGTTTTCTCTGAGTGCATCAAAATTGATCAAATAGTAAGCAACTTGGAGTAAAACTTGGATGGATGCACTGAAATCATTCATGAAGTCTTTCTTTTTTTTTTTCTTTTTTCTTTTTTTCCCACTGAAATATATTGCTGAAAGTTTAAGCACCAACACTGTACTAACAAAGTCAGAATGACTAGAGAATCATTTGATAGGCAAACAAATAATCAATCC